AATCTAGAACAGTCAGCTTATTGATATTCACAGTTTGGTGTGTGGGGAGAATAATTTATTTTTTTATTTTTCTTTACGTCTCTGCCAATGAGATTAGCAAAGAAGCAGGATCCAAGGAAATGGGGAAATGGCATTTGCTGTGGAACACCCTGGAATAGTTGGCATTTTTACGTGTGCTCTAACAGGCCAATGGAAATTCTGGCTAACACCATGTGCTGCTGTAACAAGCTAAGCACACATACCCTTCACCATCTCCCATCTCAGCTCTGGTCCTGGGAAACAACCCCAGAAGTGATGCCTCTTCGCGGTCTGTGGTCAGGAAAGGACAAGGTAGCCTCCCCCAGGGCTATCCTGTGGCTCCTGCCCTTTTCCTGGGCACATGCGCAGAAAGGCGGAGACAAACTGTGCTGCCGTGGCCCGTGTTCTCCCCTCTCCCTCACCAGCATACACGATTCCCATGGGCTCTGCTGGGACATGTTCAAGCCCCGCTCTGCGGGATTCCTGCTTCTCTTTCTGATGCTCTATTTGTGGCCACCACTAACCCTAAGGTTTGCGCAGAGGGTGGGGGCATCCCACGGGAACAGGCCTGGTGCAGGGAGTACAGCAGTGGGTTAGTGTAGGCAAGGGTCAGAATGGGGCTCAACACTCGGCTGGGGGTCCAGAGTGAAAAATCTTCACCAGCAGCTGCTACACTAGACATGCATCTGTGTGTGAGAGAGAGGTGTGTGCGTGGTATGGTGGTACTCATCATGCTGGGGCGATGTGCGAGTGAAGGATGGGGGCTAGAACGACAAGTCTTTCACTTTGTTGTGCATCAGAATTGCCTACGAGCTTTTAAAAGTCCTGATGCTCACCCTGTCCCCATACTCACTAAATCAGAGTCTCTGGGGGTGGGACCTAGGCATTTGCATCTTAAAAAACTCCCAAATGATTGCAATATGTAGCCACTCTTGACAATAGTGGGTCAGAAGATATGTTTTGGTATATTAGGATGTTTATAAGGTGGAAAGTATGAGTGATATACATTGAGGGGAGGAGGCTCTTTGAAGGATAGTATCTATTTCTCAAGAGCATCGCCATCACAGAGCATTTGGGGGATGATCTAATCCGGCCTCTTACAGCTGCTGAGACCCAGAGAGAGGCGGTGCCTTGCCTAAGATCACGCACCAGTTTCAGCGGCACATCCAGACAGAACACAAGCCTCCAGGCTGGACTCCTGCCACAAGCCGCAAATTTGGGGGTGTGTAAGGTTTGTGTGTACATGTGTGTATGTGCATGGGTGTGGGTATATATGTGTGCCTAGGTGTGTGGTGGTGTGTTCCTATGAAGAACTTCACACGGGATAGCTAACATTCCTCTACTTCAGTTGTTTAAACATCACAAACCTTCTACCGACCCACGCTGCATCCTCCCCCACTGCACAAGTAGTTCCCAGATTTTTAAATCTAGAACAGTCAGCTTATTGATATTCACAGTTTGGTGTGTGGGGAGAATAATTTATTTTTTTATTTTTCTTTACGTCTCTGCCAATGAGATTAGCAAAGAAGCAGGATCCAAGGAAATGGGGAAATGGCATTTGCTGTGGAACACCCTGGAATAGTTGGCATTTTTACGTGTGCTCTAACAGGCCAATGGAAATTCTGGCTAACACCATGTGCTGCTGTAACAAGCTAAGCACACATACCCTTCACCATCTCCCATCTCAGCTCTGGTCCTGGGAAACAACCCCAGAAGTGATGCCTCTTCGCGGTCTGTGGTCAGGAAAGGACAAGGTTCAGGGGAGCAGAACGCGCAGCCCCTCATTCAGGCAGAGGTTCATGCTGAGATTCAGCCAGACACAAACACCGAACCAGCAAAGGCAGGGTCCTCAGGCAGATAGACCTTCACCCGTGCTGGCCGCCACGCCGGCCCCCGCTGGGGCCCTAGGAGGGCCTGCCGAGCGTCTGCCATGTAAGGGAGTAGATATGGAGGATTAAGGGGCGACAGGCCCCCCTCCAGCCCGCTGTCACCCAACACCTATCTCTGACCAGCGAGAAATACAGGTCTGGCTTTTTTAGATGGGAAATGGTACTTCTGAGAAAAGGGAGAAGAGCTCCTGGCTCAAGGAGGAGGGTAGGAACCACAGACGTCTAAGCAGCGATGAGACAACACTGCTAGTGTTGGGATTTCCTGGGAATGGGAAGTGATAGGCCAAAGGGAGCTGATTTCATTAAACTTTGTGTGTGGTGAGTATTCGGGGGGTGGCAGTGGGGCCTGCAGTTGGACCGAATGAGATTCGAGCTGAGCTTTAGGAATAGATGCCACACGAAGTTATAGAGAACCTGAACGTGGGAACGGGTTGCCTTTCAGGCTGGATGACAGTGTACTTACTGCCCTTTGCTCCCTGACAGCAGGGCAGCCTGCGGCCAGTGCCGACAGGGACTGTCCCACCCCCAGGCAAGTCAAGTTTCCCTAGTGGAGGTCTTGGGCTGAGCAGCCACCTGCCACTGGGTTTCCTCCTGCTTCCCACACAGTCTAGGAGGATACCCTGATGCACTTGGGGACACTCCAGACACACAGAAGGGCGATACTCAGAGGCCAGTTCAGAAGATCCAGATGGGTGGGCAGGTTCAGAGTGGCCCCCTTCTGCAGGCTCTGCAGGCTGCAGAGACTCCCCCTCCTTCCCTGGGGTCTGCCTGACCACAGGGGTCATCTATCTATTTAGGGAGGGCCTGGGCAGAGAGACAGGCATTTGGTGCCAGGCTCTGTCCAGGGGGCTCCTTTCTGCCCCTGGCGTCTCACCTCCCCCCCACTGACGAGCTAGAGGAGAAGGGAGCCTGAGTAGGGAGGGCTCTCAGCAAAAGCCTGTTCTTGTGCCAAGCCCATGTTGCTGGTTCCAGACTATCCTTCATGGGGGGCAGGGAGTGGTGGCTACTCTGCCCTTCAAGCTATGGGGTGCACCTGGCCTCTTTGAGGGGTATGGTTCTTAACCACAGGGGCCCCGGGCAGAATCCAGAGGCCACAGGAGAATCAAAGACCCCAGAGAATCTGACTCTTCACTCTTGGAGAAGGTGAAGGAGAATCCAAGTCTGTCCAGGAGGGGCGTGAGGGGAAGTGTGGTCTTTCCACAGCCTCCAGCTCACCCCTCCCAGGAGCCCAAGCAGGCACAGGGTACACAAACCAACACAGGACTGAAGGGGCAACGTGAGAACAGGTGGCCAGTGAGCTAACGCTTGGGCGGTTCTGACAAGAGGAGCGCAAATCTGATTAAAACAAAGCCAGATAAACCAGAAACACCAGCCCCAAGTGACCTAACCGCCTCTTCCAGCTAGGAGGCTGCTGGGAATCTGGCCCCCTGTGGGAATCTCACCAGGACTGAGAGTAGGGGGGACACACCTACAGGGCCAGTCCCTGGAGAGCCCCGTTTCTGAAGAGGAACGCGCTAGCTAAGGGACTCAACCCTTACCTGGCTGGAGCCTCCTGGGGGGACCTTGGGCTGGAGAAGTGACAGGGAAAGGGAGAGATCCCAGCAGACAGGAGGCACCGACAGAGAGCAGGGCCCGAGGCGGAGCATTCCACAACGGACACTCAGCCCAGATGCCGATAGGTGGGAAGAAGGGGCATGGGGGGCACCTGGGGCTGGTTTAATATTTTTCTGGGACTGGGAAGCTGGGACCTCAAGCCAAGGATGGCACAGGAATAGGAAAGGGACATGTAATTCTCGTGCAGAGAAGACAGGAGGTTGGCTTGAGCTGTACTGGGCTGTGGCCAGCTGGTACCCCAACTACCTAGGCACCAAACAGAGGAGGTAAATGCTCTGTAGGCCTTGGGTGGGGGTCTGGCAGGAGAGGAAGTGGCGGGCAGGGGACAGGGGTCTACTCCTTTCTCTCCTTCCTCTACGTGACCCCCACTCCTCTCCTCCCTCAGAAGGGACAGATTCCATAAATAATCTTGGTTTACCTGTAGGGGTTTGCAGTCTGCAGAGTATTAACATTTTACTACATTTAAATATAAATGAACATGAGGATTATTAATTGGTGTGTAATTCTTACTGGGAATCCTTTGTGTTTAGTCTAAAGGTTCCCCACAATGCCCCTGTCAGTTCGTGTACCCTTCTCCTTGAGTTTCAGGGGACCTGTCCTGTCCCCTAGCCCCCCACCACTTTGGGGGACCGTATGGTTGCCGGGTAGGAAGCGGTGGCTGGGCAGGGAAGCACCTAGACTGGGCGAGTACTCGCAAAGAGGCGGCGCAGGGGAGCCCAGTCGCACCCCCCGGCCAGGCCCGCCTCATCCGCTGCTCCCCGCCCGACCCCGCACTGCAGCTGGGCGAGCAGGCGGAGTCCAGCGGGACGGGGAGTCTCTGCCTCAGCTACTGGGGAAAGAGCATCCCGGCCTCAGGGGCCCAGAGGCCTGGTGAACCTTCCACCCACACCCGCCTCTGCGGGGTGTGAGGCCCCTGCCAATCGTCCGCCAAAGGCCTGTGCCGCTCCCTGCGCCACGTTCTCCCTCTGAACCCCCACCCCGGCCGCAGCGACTCCCTCGCCCGGTCCAGCAGCCGGGCGCTGGCCCCAGCTGGCCTGGGATCCCGCCCGCCCGGACGCCGCTACCTGCTGAGGGCGCGGGGACGCGAAGCCAGGGAGCGGTCGGGCGGGGGTGGGAGTGGCAAACAGCGCAGGGAGCCCTGCGGACCCGGGGCAGGACAGGACGGCGTGAGGGCGTCTGTTCCCTTGAATAGGATCGGGAAGAGAGAGCCTGCCCGGCCCAGGGCTCGGGCCTGGGAACGGCTGCGGGAGGTCCTCGGCGTCCCCGCGCGCTGGCTGTGTCCCCGCAGTGGGCCACCCTCGCACCCACTAGCTCGTGGATCGCGCGGGCCGGTCGCCGACCACGGCTCCAATCTGCCGGAACCCTGCCTGGGGCCAGCACTCCCCGGCCTCGTTGCAACCCCGGGACGCGCGCCACCTCCGGTCCCCGCTGCGCGGTTAAGGCCAACGTGCGCGGAGCACGCGGGCGCAGAGCACCCACCTCGGTTGGAGTGGCTCAGGGTGGACGCCTGCGAAGACTTGGACTTCTGCCGCTTGACGGTCATCATCACCTGCTCCTGCACGCGCTGCCGGCCCGACGTGCCTGTTTTCATCTTCTGGTCCGACGGCAAGGCCAGCGTCGAGTTGTCCTGGTCCGAGAAGCACTCGTGCGCCAAGGCGGTCTTGAGTGGCGAGTGGTTCATGGCGGCGGGAGGCGCGCGCGGGCTGGGGTCGGAGAGCAGGTCGGCGCGGCAGGTGCGGCGGCGGGCGGGACGAGCGCGTCTCCTCTCAGCGGCTCCCTGTGGCCATAGAGTGCGAGGTCCGCGAGAGGGCTGCGGGCGGCTGCTCCTGGCGCCTCCGCCCCGCCCCGGCTCGGCCCCCTCCCGGCCCCGGCGGGGCCCGCCTCCGCCAGACTGGATACACCGCCCCTGCCCTGCGCCTCCGCCGCGGGAGAGAGCGCCCCAGGGGCACCCTCCTGTTCTCCGCCCCTTTCCCTCCGCTCTCCCCCCGAGACGCGCCCCTCTGTCCTCTTGCTGCTTGCTCATGGTGCAAACATGTGCTCATCTCGGAAACCAAGGGGATTTCCCTCTAGGAAAAATGAGTTTTTCTTGACCAGGTCCCCAGGAGAGCCAGAAACCCATTTTCCTCCGTCATGGCGGAGACCAGCCCGGTCGGTGGGGGCCCCCAGGCTGACGGCACAAGCACAGCTCCCGTCCAAAGGGAGGGGGTGCTCTCTCTAGGGCAGTTTGCAACCTGAAGGGAGGGGGGATGGGATGGATGTGGGGGTTGCATGAAGCCCGCACCGAGGACCAGGCTTGAGATTACAAACCCACGGGCTAGTGCGGCTCTCATGCGTGGGCATGCCAGAGGACAAGGCTGTGAAGTGCGTCCTCTCTGGGACTCCAGACCTAGCCCCTAAAATGGTGCAGGCACATATTAGAGGCTCAAAAAATATTTTTGAATGGATGAATGAATGAAGACTAGCTAGTTTGAAGTAACTTAAGTCTAATTTGTATCTTACCCAGATCCTTACTGAAAAACTGGAAGGCTGCCTACCCCATAGAACTACCCCACTATGGACTTATTATTCTAGGACTTGTGTGCATTCTACATACACACACCTGAGGACAGGTGTAGTGGTGTTCTGTTCATGTAGCATTATTCTCAGGTACAGAAGTAGCCTAAGCCAGGGAATCTGGTGTGTCACAGGAGCTGAATATTTTAAAAACTCCTGATGGAAATCTTTCTAGATGGCATCACGCCCTGCCTTTCCTCCTTAAGCAGAAGGTCCTGAACACATTTTATGCACTTCTTGAGGACTCAGGGCTCCCATTCTGGACATCCATTACTGAATGTGTGGTAGAGCAACCAGGTCAGCTCTTAGTTTTGGGGTCTCCTTCGTCTGTGTTAGGAGATCATGCCTGTCACTTCAGCTGTTGTTTGTAACTGCCACTCACAGCTCACGCACTTCACCCCTACTCTGCCCTTCTAATCTGCAGAGGAAGGGACTACCAGAATCACTGCTTCTTGGGAATTAGGAAGGGTGGAGTAGCCTGAGGGATAGCCCCGGGAACCACATGAAGGGCACTTGCTCACTTCCTGAGAAGTGGATATTGTCTGCAGGGAGCCCCCGCTTTTCCCCATAATGCATTTCTGGTAGCCACATGCAGAGCAGAATTTCGTAAAGCAGATCATAGCTCCCAGTAGAAATAGCTTTATAATTGAAGGTGTGTTCCTAAGAACTTAGTGTCAAACAGACCAGAGATGTGACCAATAATATGTCACAGATACAAATGTTCAACACCCGTAAACCTCTGTCATCACTTAAAAATGTAAGATTCTGCTTCCAGCCATGACTGTCACGCTGACTGGAGCCCTGGACACCATCCAGCCCAGCCTCTGAATTTTCCTGATAAGGAGAGAAGGCAGCTTGCTTGTGATCACTCAGCTAACACATGGCATAGCCTCCATTCTCATCAGGCCTGGTGGCTCCTGGCCACCAGGGCTCTTCCCTCCACACTATCTGACCTCCCTTATAAAAGTCCTATAAAATGGGCATTAAAGTACAGGGCACACTGATTGCATACGGGCCCTCATGTGCTGTAAAGTAAACAGGACAGCACATAAAAATACAGTTCCATTGTAGCATGTATTGGGTCTACCGAAAACTCAATGTGCTAGCTATAGGGTGTAAATGTTAATTATGTCTTTAAGTAATGATAATTTTGCTACCTTTAGGATGTAGAAGGGCTCTGAAGGAGGTGATTGGAGCAGCCCAAATGGCTATAAAAGGCCATACTTAGGCCCTGGAAGCTGAGGCTGATTATCTTTAAAATTGTTTCCATGTATGAAGTTTAGTTTTTCTAGATGCTTCTCAATTATTTTGATATTTGATGGCTAGCATTTGCTGTGTGTCTGCAAGCACCACGACTACAAACCAGGCAAGGTTCTGGCCCTTTCCAGGGGCCACCTCATTCTAATCCTTATAATGATTCTGTGAGTTGGGGACAAGAGCCATCCTCTTTCCTCTTCACATAAAGAAACTGAGAATCATTGAGGTCACCGAGCTGGTGAGTGGCAGAGACAGGGCTAACCACAGGCAGCCTGGATGCAGAGCCTGGGCTCTCAGTGGCGGGGCCGCACTGCTTCCTCGGGGCTTCCCCACAACGAGCAGTGGGCTCAAAAGCCCACTTCTGTGGGTCAGTCTCTTAACAGCATCCCTTTCCATCAGAGGGCATGAAAGGCAGGCCACCTGGGTTCCAGTTCCAGTTATGTCACTAGCCAGCTTCATGGTGCCAGATAAGTCCCTTCTTCTGTCCCCATCACCACATCTGCAGAAGTAGATTTGCTAGGCCACCCAACCCACTCTTGCCCTCACACTGTACAGTCTCCATGTGAATTGTGGGGATTTGCAGAGCAGGAGAATCTGGTCCTCTGGATAATATTTGCTTGGTCTGTCCTACTCCCCAGCATCAAGCGAAGGCAAGTCTGAAAGTGGATAGCAGGGCCACTAATACTTGCAGGGCTGTGCTGGACACCCCAACCTGCCTACTCCGCCTATGTTACGCCATATAATCCTCCCCAAAATCCTAAGGAGGCCTTGTTTTGCAGATGAAGAAACACGCTCAGAAAGGTTGTCAGCGGTGAAGCCTAGATTTGGACCAAGGTCGGACTTCCCACCGGGAGAAGGGTAGGAAGGGGGAGTCAGTCTCGTGTTTTGGCCTGAAGTAGGCACAAGGTATATTCAGGCTGGAGAGATGGGTTTGGGGCTCAAGTGTATGGTTTTGAACCAGCAAGTCAGAACTTTTCCCATCAGTCTGCTCTTTTGCCTGCCTGAGCCTGGCTCCATGTAGGGCTGCACTTCAGAAACAGGCCGGAGAAGAGGGTTACCCTCCTAAAGAGAAGAAGAGAGGTCACCAAGGTGCTGTCACATGAGCTGGACACTGAAATGCTGTGCTTGCAGATGACTTCCAGAACATATTTTTACATGGTGAAAAAATTCTAATGGGCATATGTAAATGTGAGTTTAGAGGGTGTGGGGATATGGGGAAAGCATCTTGAAAGAAGTTAATTTTGACTTGATTCTGAAACAGGATGAGTACATTTTCATCCTCAAAGGCATTTCTGAACCACAAAATGGATGCAGACACCCCCAGGGAGTTGGAAGAGGTGACCTTCCTTTATGAACCTCTCAGCTTGGCAGGGTGACCCTGCCTCATTTGACCCAGTTCTTCTGCAACTGACCGCTGTTCTTCCTGTCACCTTTGGACTTTTGGACGGTGGCCATGGGTCAGCTCCCTGCTGTCCAGTCATCTGGCTGAGTTCCTTAGTGGGTCAGCTCGCAGGCTCCTCAATGGCTGCCTAATTCAGGAAAATAACCTTCCTGATGACTACACTGCAGCTCCCCAGTCTCTAAGTAGCCTCCCTTATCATTTCGGTTGCCCATTAGCCCTCAGCCACTTGCCCCATGCCGATGCCTGCCTCCGTTGCCTTTGTCCATGGGCGATTTCCGCAGCGTAGAGCGCTCTCAGGCGGTCACTTAAGTAACAGTTAAGCACCTAAAGGGCTGTCCTGCTCCCACAGGGCTTACATTCTAAGGGTGTAGACAAAGAGTAAACTTATAATGGAGCTAGCAAAATGATCATAAATTATATTAAATGCTGTAAAGGAAGTGAATGAGAAGTAGATGTGAATGCAGAGAGGGGAGCTGTTGGCCATGGTGGTCAGAGAGGGGTGTTTACACTGACCTGAAGCAGGGCAGGGAGCTGCCCACCTTGGGAGCAGTGGGAAGAATCCAGGCAGAGGTAACACTGGGTGGAAAGACTGTGAGTCCGTCATGTCCTCGGAACCGACAGACCAGTGTGGCCTTAGAACAGGGAGGGAGGGGATGGGGGCACAAGATGGACACAGAGGCAGGCAGGCCGTGCTGCCCTGTACCACTTTCTGTGTTGATGGAAATGCTTTGTATCTGTGCTGGCTGTTCAAATAAGTCAAAGTTTTGTTCCTCAGACACACCAGCCGCATTGTAAGTGCTTCATAGCCTCATGTTGCTAGTGGCCACAGTACAGGACAGGGTGGGAGCATGCTGGCCCTTTACAGCTCTGCCTGGGGCTTGAATTTTATTCTAAAGGAAAGAGAAGCCATTGAGAGGCTGAGCGAAAGGATGACGAGAAACCACCACCCGCTGCCCTCCTGCCTCTTGTCAACTTGTCAATCCTCTTCATCCTTGCTGAGAAATTCCCAAACTAAATTCAGTACCCCTTCCTGGTGCCTACCCGTGCGACAGCCCCCGTCTCACGTCACCATGTCCGCGTGTCCATATGACCTGGAGCAGCCTGAGGCAGGAAATATGTGCTATTCAAGTTTCTTCTCCCACTGTCCACATTACTGGTACACCCTGGGTGCTCAATAAATGTTTATTTTATTGAACTGTACCCACCCTCTTATTCCAGAGCAAGGCTGTGTCCCTGTCCTTTGCTGGGTCTGCTGGATAATTCAGGCTCCGTGCATCCGGGTAAAGACTTGGACTTTCTAAGGCCAGTTTCTCTGTGACCTTTGCCCTCATCTCCTGCCGGTTGGTGTACCCTCAGGTATGCACTCACAGCCCCCACTCCATCTTTCTGGGCTTCACCAGAGGTCAGAGAACCTGCCTTTCTCACTTCCTAAGGGAAATTCACACTAGGAAGTTATAATGTGTTCACCCTGCTCCCCTACCCTAGTCACCTCAGAAGACACCCATCTAGGAAGTCATTTTCCCAAGGATATGAATAACAAAACTCTGCAGTGACCTCTGTCGGGTCCTGAATGCCCTCAGGGTACCTGAGAAGGAATGGACCAGACCCTCTGCCTGCCTCCTGGTATGAGTACCTGCAGCAGACCCGCGGTACAGGACGTTGTCCTGGAAGGGACAGAGGGTGCAGGGACAGGCTCTTAGGCGTGGTTGGGAAGCAGGAAGGTGGTGGGATGGGAACAGCAGGCCACGCCCCACGCCCTGGCATGCACACCGATTGGAAGGTCAGGGCCTGTGACCATGGACCCATGAGGGCTGGGGCCAGATGGGTGGCCTGTGTCCAGTCACACGACCTGCTCTGCTCTGGAAGGAGATGAGGGGGCAGGGCTGGCAGGGGGAGGAGAGAGAGCAAGGGGGTGAGTTGCAGCCTGGATGAGTCCAAGGCGGGCAGGGCTGGGCCGGAGAAGGGGCGAGGCCAGGGTGTGCACCTAGGGCTCCCCGCCTCTCCAGGGCTCTCTCAGAGCTGCCTTTCTGGTCTCTCTGGGTGGGGTGGGTGGGGCAGTGGCCAGGGAGGGAAGGAAGGTGATGAATAACAGAGTGACCCAGCCCCATCCCAACTGGCTGCAGTCAGCACTAGATTTGTTCTGCGCCCGGCCCCTCTGCTAACCCAAAATTCCGGTTCTGTCCTCGTGAAGCTGGCGAACCCAGGGTGTGCCCTTCCCTCTGCCTCCTCCCCCCAGCAGGCAGTGCTGTTTTGCAAACCCTCCTAGGACTACAGCTCCGGGCCTGAGCCTAGCCTCAGGATCCTGGGGGCCCACAGCTCCCTGCGGGACCAAAAGCCGCTTGAGCGCTGACTCCAGGGCCTTCCCGGGAAGGCAGCCTGGGAAAGCCAGAACAGGGGGCTTGGAGTGAATAGAGCAAGGTTTGCACCCCTGCTGTGTGACCTTGAACTAACCACTTAACCTCTCTCTGTACCTCACTTTCCTCATTTGTAACATTAGGTTAGTCACACCTACCTGGCAGGTTTCTTGGGACATAAATATAGATAAAACGTCTAGCACAGTGCTTGGTACCCTGTAGGTGTCTAATGATGAACAGAACTTCCTTCGTCTCCCCAGCAGCGCCCTGGCCTCCCCTCTAGCCGCCCTCTCTTCCAGACTCTCCACTTTACATGATGGCCCGGGGCCTGCGCCCCAGCTCTGGCTGCTCCTCCTTGGTCTTGGGCCCTGACTCGTTCCCCCCCGGGGAGGTGGGCCATGCCTCCTTCCGCGTCCTGCTCACAGCCTCTTCCCCATCGCCCCTGCCTTCCCCTCCTCCCACCCCCGCGCTGTTGTCTGCATGGCACACGGCGGCTCTGCCATTACTGCCCTTGGAAACTTCAGAGGAGGAGGCGCCCTCAGAGACCATCTGGGGCAGCCCTCTGATTTTCAGAAGCGGTAACTGAGTGCAGAGAGGCACGGTGACGGGGCCTTGCGGAGGCCTGGTGTCCAGGTCCTGCCTCCCGACTGTGGGGATAAGGGTCCCCTGCTTCCTTTGGGGGAGAAGGGCGGTGGGGGGCTGGGCGACCAGCCTGAGGTTGACCGGGAAGCCAAGGCAGGAGGGGAGTCCAGGGGTGGTTCCGGAGGCACTGTCCCCGCGGTCCTGGGAGAACAGGATCGCTAGCATCGGGAGGAGGAGCAGCAGCCCGGGAAAGGCCGTGCGAGCTGCGAAGCTGGCGGCAGCGCGGGGGTGCGCCTGAAGAGCTGGGCAGGCCCCCGCGCGGCTACTCACAGTCACCTGCCCAGCCCTGGCCCCAGCCCTGCACAGCTTCCATGGTAATTGGGTGAGTCACCCACCCGCGCCTGCAGACAGGGCAGCCACACCCGAGGCAGCTGGCACCCTGACGGTGTTTCTGCTCTGAGCTGCTGGGCTGGCAGCCTGCCAGGCCGTGGATGGGTACTGATGGAGTGCCAAGAGCTTCAGGGCCTTGGGCCAGGCTAACCTGCTGAGTGGTGGAGCCTCCTGTCTGCATTGCCCTGTCGCCATGGCCAGAGCCTCCTGTGGACAGCCCGGTCCAGGTGCCTTCTTATTAGGAATGCCAAGCAGCAGACCATGCATCTCCCAGATCTGCACACAGTAGGGCCCCAGGTTTCGGGCTGCTCACAAAAGGTCTATAGTCTCCCACCCCCCAGGCTGAGTTAGGAGCCACTTCTGCTGGCTTCCCTGCCGGGCAGGGCTGCCTCTCCATCTCTGCCCATTCAAAGCCCATCAGAGCCCTGCCCGCCAGCCCAACTCAAATGCTCCCACCTCCCCTACTGGCCCCCAGATGTCCTGAGCTGGAAGCAACTCCTCCCTCCCCTAACTCTTAGGGTAACCTGCACCCGTCCTGTGCCACTTAGCACGTCGCTTTGCCCTGGTGCTCTGTGAGCTCTGCCTCACTGGCAGGCCACCCAGTGCCCTGAATGCTGCAAAGGCTAGGGGGAAATTTAACCTCACTGCATCTGTGTGTTCTGTTATGGCATCTCTGTGACCAGACACCTCTTTGGGCACCTTTCTGCTCCCATTATCCCCCACCTTTTTCTAGGCCATATCATCACAGCAAAGGCCTTGACTTCAGGCCCTGCAGTGGCTGACGCTGGACCTGGGCACATTTTGACAAAGAGCTCTTGAGGAAATGGGAGGTTTGGTGGCACCTGGACCCTCCAGCCATCTCCAGTCTTCGCGTCCACTGGCTCTGTAGCTGCTGGGGGAGCAGGGTGGAGGCGCAGGGGGGCTGGGCTGGGCCTGGAATGCGGGCGGAAGCTGGACCTCTCACTCCTTTCCAAAGGAGCCTCTAGACGTGCTTTGTATCTGCCAGTCACGGCCTCTGTGAGTCTGCTCTGGGAGCCCCTCCTTTCCTAAGGAAGACCCCGGATGACCTCCATCACAGACCATTCTGTCCCCTACGCCACTGTCTTGGAAACCGGTCAGCCAAGCAAGGGTCACTGGGATGGGGTGGGCAAGAGGGGACAGCTCAGGATTCCTCTGGTGAGTTCTGGACTCCAGCTGAAGACAGACATGCCTGCGCCATGGTGCTCAGCCCCAGAAGTCAGTGTGGGCATGCAGAGGGGCTGGGGGTGGGTGTGCCATATGACAGCTGAGATAGAGCTTAGAGGCTTTTGGGAAGAAGGGAACATTGGAGACCACGGAACCAGGGAGGCCAGTGTGTAGTCCAGGGCGAAGAGTTTGCTCTAAGCACTTCAAAGGGAGGTCACAGGATGGCTCAGATGAGGGAGCGTGTTTGGGGTCACTTGGCGGCCGGGACTTTTACCTCTGCTTTCATCTTTTTGCGCATAGAACCACAGGACCATTTCACATCCATCTAGCTCTTTACAGTCTACAGAGTGGTTTTCTGACCTTAATCTTGGGATCTGCCCATCAATTTCTTGAGAGAAGTGTCCATCCCTGGGTCACCCCCCGGTAAGGAGGGAGACTGAGCCTCGCAGCGGTTGCGTGATTTGCCCGAAGTCACTCCTGGCTAGTGACCAGAGCTGATTCTCAGAAATCCTTCTGACAAACCAAGCCCAGTGCTTTTCCACCACACACACAGAAAAAAACATTTCTGGGGTGGAGAGAGCTGCGAAGTACACTGTCTTTGGGGACATTAGGCAGATTGGATGGTGTCCCCCCTCCAAAAAGATATACCCACATCCTGACCCCCAGAATCTGCGGCTGCAGTCTTATGGGGAAAGGGTCCTTGCAGGTGTAATTAGGGAAAGGGTTTTGAGATGAGGTCATCCTGGATTCGGGGTAGACCCTAAATCCAATGACGAGCGTCCTTCCCAGAGAAAGGCAGGGGGAGACAGATGGAGGCAGAGACTGGAGTGGCATGGCCACAAGCTGCAGTCAGTGTGGAATGGGTCCCCTCAGAGCCTCCAGAGGGAACCCACCCTGAAACTGGCAGTGAACACATTTCTGTGGCTCGGACACCACGTGTGTGGCCATTCATGTGGCTGCTCTGGGAAGCAGAGACCCTCACTCTGGGACTCAGTGATTGGCATGAGCTGTCAGCTTCTCCTGGCAAACCAGTCAGCAAGTGGCACAGCAGGGGCGTGAGGCCCAGGGCCAGCCCTGGGGGGCTCCCCACTGCAGCGTGGTGCCTCAGCAATGACAGCACGCTAGGCTGGCACGGGGCAGCCAGCCACCCACCCTCCGCCCTCACCCGTGCTCCAACTCGTTTGGTTTCAGTCTGTACCAAGAAAAGGATGATTCTCCAGCAACTCTGGGAAACGTGAGGTGGCCACAGGCCACGTCCCTCCCCACCAGGAGGTACTTATGAAGCCAGTTGCACCTCCGCCCAGAAGTCAGAGGGGCCCAGCCCCTAATAACTGCCAGCCTCGTGGCCCTGGCTGCCCTCCTCTTCACATTTCCCCACGTCCCGGGACGTCTTCAGGCAGTCAGCAGAGCATGGTCACGATTAAACACAACAAGAAAACATAATAGCACTTCATCTTTCAATGGGGCTTTTTATTCTGAAAGCTCAGGCAGTTTTATAAGGCTGTGGAGGCCCCCCGATAGTTCCCTTTTAGATGGGTAAAGTGAGGCACTGTCCCGGAAGGCAGCCAGATAGGGCTCTGGCCAAGCCACTGGTCAGTCAGTGCTACTGGCCAAGAACGTGGCTCTGAAGGTCCACCTGGCTCCCTCATTTTTCGGGTCTATGGCTTCAGTTGGAAGGTTAGTTTTATCAGAAAGTCCTCAGGATTTGCTCTGCCTTCTTAGAGAGGGTCAAGATGGGGCTCAGCCAGCCTCCCAGCTTACTGAGCAGTGGGATGTGGTGGGGGCATGAGAAGACGGGTGTTGAGGTAGAAAGAGTGTCCACAGGGAGTCCTTGGTATCCCCCTCCACCCAGTGCAAAGTGCAGTTCTGGGCCTGGCTTGGCCGCCCACTTACTGTGTGACTTTGGACAAGTTGTTTGCCCTCTCTGGGTCTCAGTTTCCTTGTTTGTAGAACGAGGGAGTTGGGGTAGATGCACTGTCAGTGCTTCTCAAACCTTACTGTACTCGACTCACCCAGAAATCGAGCTCAGCGGATTCTGATTCAGCAGGCCTGGGTGGGGCTGAGGCTCGGGGTCCGACAAGCCCTGGGGCGGCGCTGCCTCTGGTCCTCAGACCTCACGGAGAGTTACAGGTTGCAGGGCAGGTCACCTAACCGCCATCTGTGAACGTCGTCATCGCCTCCCCAGCATGCTGTTTGGAGAACAAATCTGATGCTGTGTATCAGAGCACTTTGTAAGCTGTAAAGTCCTACAAATTTATGTTTTTTAAAAGATCACCAATAACGTGATAGGCAAGCCTTCCAAGGAGCCAGGGATTGGTCCAGGCCCAGGCTCTAGAACCTGTCACCAGCTAAGGATGTCTTGGGCGAACACGTCATTTCTGTAAGCCTGTGAAATGGGGGTCACAGCACCCACCTCACGCTGGTTATGAAGATTAGATGAAATGAGATCGTTGAGGAAAGCAAGTTACAGAGGAGCCTGCACACAGAAGACCCTCGGCCACCACTCCTCCTCCTGACCATTTTCCCAGGTACAGGGTGGGGACAGCCAGGGGCAGGCTGCTGCTGCGCCCCTCACCCTCACCTGTTCTTTTCCCTCCCATCCTGGACTCCATCCTTAGTCCCCAAGGCCCCCAGGGTCCTGTGCAGGCTCCTCCACTGTGCTGCTGGCCCGGAGGCTGGACCACCAGCTCTCTCTGCCAAGCCCCCCGGAGAGGCATCTGTGCGCAAGGCCTTGGCTACGCCAGCTGCAGTTCAGGGGTTTGGGTGGGAGGGATGCCAGTGGGCTCAGGTCGGGGGCATCTGCCTTTCATTTCCCTTAGGGCACTGCCTGCTGCCCGAAGGAGCTTGGTTTCGGCGGGAGCAGTGGTCAGTCTTCAGTCTTCACGGCACTGAGGACTATGGGTGTGAGCAGGCAGTGAGAGGCACGCTGCCTGCTGGGTGCTGGGGCCACGCTCGAGCCCCCACCCCCTCAACAGCGGGGGCTCCCTGGCAGTGGCTTCTCCTTTCTCCACGCGCACCTCGGCATCCCGCCCTCTCCCCTAGTACAAGCCACCTGCAGGCTCATGGACAGGGTGGACACTGACAGCCCGAAGCGGCAGCTCCAGAGAGGCTCCCAACCCATGCAGTGAAGCCTGGCTGTGTCTAAACAGAACAATTACCCTAATTGCTGTTTCTGCTAATGATACTGTCATCATTGGTCTGACAATAGGATAGGCATTACTCAGCCCTAACTGGCCGGCCAGAGCCTGAGCCACTGCAGGCTGGGCTCTGAGGGCCCTGAGGCCCAGCCCAGAGCTGTTTGAAGCTAGAGCCGCTCTGTGCCTGGGCCGGGCCTCAGGGGTCTCTGACTGTAAGTGGGATATGTCTCAGTTTCTAGGTCTGTGGATGCCTAATGTTTACACAATATTCTAAATGTGCAAAAAAAGTAAATTCCCTTACTGTTTATACCCAATCCTATGGAACTCACAGGCTTCCTATCCGATTCTGATGATGGTAGGGAATCAACAGCACGAAGCGAACCAACCCGCCCATTTAAGGTACTCCGGGAGCTTATTTATAGCAATCTCTTTTGTATTCACTTCCAGTCCTTTGGGCAAGTGATCAACTCAAAATGAAAACTCCTCTGCAGAGGGTGCCCCCAAGGCGCCCTCACGGTGTTGGAGAGCTGGGGTCCGTGCGCTGCTCTCTGCCCTCGGT